GCACGAGGGATAAACCCCATGACGACAGCTCCTAGAGGTCTACGCCTATAGTCATAGAGGCTTGGGTTACTGTACGTAACCATCATTCCTCCTCATCCACTGATCTGCTCGTGGCTGCTGTGGTTGCACCATCTGACCAGCAGAAGGCCTCTTCTATTACAGAAGTAGAGCTGAGCAGAGTACCTGTATTGTACTGGTGTACCAGTGCTTCCAGCAACTCCTCCCACTGCAGTGAGGGAGCGTAGTCCAGCAGGTTGGTTACAGGTGAGGGGATGCTGGGCGTGGCGTTGCTATGGATACCAGGGCAAGAGGGGCGGAGCACAGCAGCAAGGGCAGAGCGATCAGCAGAGTGAAGCAGGGTGCAGTGATGGTAGGATGACTTCCTGCTCAGTCTGGATGCAGTTCCTGTAAACAACAACAGCAGCAGACAGTTTGTTATACATCTCACCTGTGACTCTAACAGGGTCCTGAAACAATAAGAACTGCTGATTCTGGATTGATTAATGAAGTAAAAATGATCCTTTAAACTCTGGTTGTGTCTAAGAGTAATTACAACCCCAAAAAGTTGGGGCGGTACGTAAAATCTAAATTAACACCGTTACTAAAAATAGTGATTTGTAAATCATCTGTGACCTGTGTTACGTTAAAAACAATACAGCAGCACATTATTTGATGTGATACCTAAATTTTATTCTTTGTTCATACTAAACACTTCAGTCCTGATGGCTGCAACACATTACAAAAAAAGTTGGGACAGTAAAGTGTTTAACTCAGTGTGTTGTTGCGTTCCTTTTCACAACACTTAAGACGTTTAGGGACTGAGGACACCAAGTGATTAAGTGCATCAGGTCTCATTTTGTCCCATTCTTCCTGCAAACAAGTTTTAAGGTGCAACAGTCCTGGGTTGTTTTTTTTTTTTGACACAATGCACCACACATTCTCTATTGGGGACAAGTCGGGACTGCAGGCAGGCCAGTCCAGCACTCTCCCCCTTTTCCTCCACAGCCAGGCCTGCACTGCAATGTGTGCAGTATGAGGTTTGCATTGTCTTGTTGAAATATGCATGGTGTCCCTGGAAAACAATATGCTGCTGAATTGTTTTCAATGTAATACAGGACACATGATTTACAAATCACTATTTTCAGTTTTAATTTAAATTTTAGATACTACCCCAACTTTTTCTGATTTGAGGCTGTAATAAATATAGTTAACCACTGACTCTGGGAACAAGGAATCACTAAAGTCACACACACTCAGACGATCAGGCTGAAGACAAACGAAGTTTATCCAGGTTATATAAAGACTTTATTCTTTCTGCTGTTCCTAAAGAACTAACCTATTGTGTCACTGGACTGTACCCCCACCTTACCTGAGATCTTGTATCCGTTGAGTAAAATGTCAAATCTGTCAGTGGCCTGGACGTCCAGTCTTGGTCTCACCCACCTCAGAGCCTCAGTGATAACCTTCAGGTTCCTCTTCCGGTCGTACGCTTTCTTGGAGGTGAAGAAGGTCAGGTTGAGGTTCCCAAGGTCATGAAAAACAGTCCCACCACCACTCCGCCTGCGGGCCAGGGGGATCCCTGCCCTCCTCATGGCCAGCAGGTTGCACTCGGTCCAGGGATTCTGGTGGCGCCCAATGACCACAGCCGGACAGTTCCTCCACAGCAACAAGATGCTGCGCTGCTGCAGGTCCACGTTGCCGTCAATCCAGTCCTCCAGAGCCAGGTTCTGGTGCACATCGGTGGACTGGGACTGAAGGACCAGCCCTGCACTGCTGCTGTCAGGGGCCATGGTGAGGCCGCTGGAGCTGGAACTGTTCCTGGCTGGATGGTTTCCACTGTGACACCTGTAAACACCAGACCAGCCTCCTAGAAGAAACAACATCCTTCTGGCGTGCGGCATAATGGTGCTAAAGAGGTCTTCAATCTGCTGTGTCCCTTCTTCACCTCCGCATGTTGGAAATATCTACCATGTAAAATTTTAATTATCAATGCAGTCTGAGCCCTGACTATCAGCAGACACCAATCATCTATTAACATTAGGATAAATAGATTAAAACACCATGAACTGAATTACATTTAATGAAAATTATGTAAACATTAACAGCTGACGAAAAGAGAATAGCTGGCAGTTTTGCTTCAAAAATTTATGAAACAATTTATCAATTATCAAAACATTATTTTCAAGTTTCTAAGAAACGACTGATCAACCTATTTCAGCTTTACAAGTACTTAAATGATAATGACAACCTTAAGACTACTAACTGAACACTTTCCCTTAAAATTACAGGCTACACACCAAACTACAGGTGTATTTCCAGGAATAATACTAATTCACACTGAATTAAAGTGTGGTTAATGTTGTGGAAATTATGGGACGCTAAGATCCCAAGTTTAATCAAGTCCATTTCATTTTTTATCAACTACATCTTTTGCTATTTTACGTAAACTACAATTATATTGTTTGACGACATCCCGTGATTGCTTGCTTTAGCCTTCAGCGTCACCGTTGCTGAAAACCAAAGGGAAATTTGAATTCGTTTTTTAAACAAACAGCTGCCAACGAACAGTTTTACCGAAAGTTAATATCAAGATAAAGCTGAAAACGGCATGTTGCATGCTGACCTGAACCAAGAGATGAGCTGCACACCAGTCTCCACTGAAACAAACAACTTCCGCTGTCTTCAAAATAAAAAAAAGACAACATCCGGTGTGCGTAATCGTTTACAGGTTCGCCAGCAGAGGGAAATATGCCACCCAAAGTCTGTGCTTTTATTCCAAAGATAAAAATCGCTTAAATTTAATGCTTTGTCTGTAAATTGGCCATTGGCTCTAACCTTGGTCCTACATTGTTAAGGCCCCGTGCTCTACCATGACCTGCCCTGGAAAGGTTCCCACCCAAGTTTTTTTACTTGCTTTATTAAACAAAGAATTTACAAACACTTAAGCAGCAGACTCTCCATTCATTGGCACCACAGATATTGATCATATGTCGGACTCTCTGCAAAACATTTAATCTTGTATACACTGCCCAGCCAAGAGCCGGGGTCTGTCGGAGGTTTCTTCCGTTAAAGGAAGTTTTTCCTCCCCACTGTCACCAAGTGCTTGCTCAAGGGGGATTTGTTGGGTTTTCCCTATGTAATAATATTGATAACAGTAAGGTCTAGACCTTACTTTGTAAAGTGTCCTGAGAAGACTTTTATTGTGATTTGGCGCTATACAAATAAAATTGATTTGATTTTGATTTGAATTGATTTAACAGTCGCACCTGTACATACATCCATCCACCCATTATTTATACCTGTTCCTAATATTCTGACCCTCTCATATATGTCATTGGGCAGGACAAAAAATATACGACACCTCTGAATATAATGTAGTCCAGTACAACATCGCCTTTAACTATGGCCTCAATAAAAATCATAGAGATTGTCATAAATGTATAATTTCAAGGGTCATAGTTAAAGGCGGTGTTGTACTGGACTACATTATATTCAGAGATGTCTATATTTTGTCCTCCACAGCTACATTCATGAGAGGGTATTAGGAACACCTTTGAATATAATGTACCTCAGTACATCATCCTTAACATAAATTTAACATTATCTTTATATTAGATTTGAAAATACATGCATCAAAAACAAAACGTGCTTTGCTTTTAAGTTACAATAAAGGGGCACTTTAGTCAGACTCATTGATTAGTAATATTTTTTGTTATTTTTTTTATACTATATAAGTTACTTTACTGATGACATGGCAATAATAATAGAGTTCAACATCAAAAACACACAAGATGTCAGCTGTTAGCCTTAATCTTAATTATCCTTTATTATATTTTGATTTTTGTACTTTTATTTTTTGAGCTTGTGTCTTCGGCCTCTAAACTCATCAATGAGGAAGAAGCTCAGCGTTTAAAGATAAGACCAGAGAGAGGAAGTACATGTGGCCACATCCTGACAACACACACACACACACACAAACAGTCAGTCGGAGTCGATGATGTTTCAGGTGAGAGATGAGTTTAGTTGTATTTTATTTAAAACAGAAGGTTAATGTTAGATCACTTAATTTACTCTGTCTTTATTTACTGTTTATACTTCCATTTATAAATACTATAAATCTGCTATATACACTTTATTATAAAGTTTATTAAGTTTTGTGTTTTCATGATGGCTGTGTTACAGCTTGGTTAAAGAGGAAATGACAAAAAATATAACCATTCTATATCAGATTAAAATATATATAATATTCCTTCTAAATTAAATATCCCAGTGATGATTTTATCTGCTCATTAAATGTTTCTCAATTATGAAAAACAACTCCGTGGATTTAGAAAATACATATTTATAGATTATGTTCTAAAACTTGAAGATGTCACTTTAAGAGAAGCAGAGTTTGAAACCGGGTGTGAATTCTTAGAAGTGTTCACATACAACTGCTGTATGTCGCCAATAATAAAATATTAACTTTGATGTTCAGTGACACCTTTCACTGACACTGCAATCCATTAAAACCTGTTTAAAAAAACAGTAGCTTCCAAAGCACTTTGCCAAAACAGTAAAACCTGTCAATCAGTGGAAACTGATGAAAAGCTTTCTAGGCTGCAGTTCCGGTTGTTAAAGCTAAAACGTCATCCTCAAACGAGCACAAAGTTTAGGTAGCTGTAATTCAAACTTGTGAGCAATTCCATCAGTCTGTGGGGACTGGGAATAGTGATAGTTGACTATTTAGAGTCATATCTGATACAAGTCAAAAGATTCAGAATTCATATTTGACCCTGACGACTTTGAAGATTGCGTACAAGTGTCTAAATAAAGTATTAATACATTTGTTTACACACTCATTTACAGACTTAGTGTGTCTGCATGTACGCCTTTATGATTGGTGCCTATTCCAGGAGAGAAAAATAATTAAGTCAGATGTTAGGAATGATACTAAACTGTTCTTCAGTGAAAAACTGCTTTAAGCTACTCACATTTAAGACTTAATAGTGCGATAGTCTGTCTGAATATGTCTCCAATTTTCATTTATGATCTGAGAATTGCCTTAGTATTACACCATTCTGAAATGGGAGCATATGATGTGCATCAAAACATCTGAACCCACAGTTTTCCAAGAAAGCCAACACCAGAGCGGAAGAAAGTCTGTTTTCCCATTCATTCCAATGAAAGCTGCTCAAAAAGGCTTTGCGACAACAGCGCCTCCCAGATGCCCACGAAGAGATGATGGCAGACTCAAAGCGCACTGTCACAACAGGTCACCGACTCTTACTAACCAGACCTCCTCTGTGTCTTTCTGCAGATCAACACATTCACATGAAGAAGCCATCCAGATAAACAACTTGCCACACACACACACACACACACACAGTCATGTGTATGAACAAACATACACTCAGAGTTAACAGGTGTGTGTGTGCATGATAACATGTCTGACTTGTGGATGTTTTCCTCATCCTCTCCTCCTCCCATCATGCATCAGTCCTCTCTGTCTGATTCACCTGCTTTCGTCTCTTCACCTCCTCCCCTCTGCTCCCCATCATCATTCAACAACCATGGAAACCATCCTCATCACAAGGTTCTCACTTGTTTACACAATTATTTAATGACATTATCTAGTTAATACTCTATATAGTTATGCAATATGTACTTATTTATGCACTTATCTAGTTATTAATGTAACCGTTTACTTATTTACACGTACAGTTACAAATGTACCTAGTTGCTTATTTTCAAATTGACTTATTTATGCACTTTCTCATCCCTAGGTAACTTCCTCTTACCTGTGTCAGCCCCAGGTAACCTCTGCTCACCTAAATCCTCAGGTTACATCCCCAAACCTTCCTCATTCCCAGGTAACCTCCCCTCACTCTGTGCATCAGACCCATCACCTTCTCTGTCAGCCCCAGGTAACCTCACCTCACTATGCATCCCAGTCACAGGTACCCTCCCTTCACCACTTCCCTCATGCTCAGGTAGCCTCCCCTCACCTTGTACCCCAGGCTCAAGTAACTTCCCCTTATCACCTCCCCCATCCTCAGGTAACCTCCCCTCACCTTGTACCCCAGGCTCAAGTACACTCCCCTTACCACCTCCCCCATCCTCAGGCAACCTCCCCTCACTTTGTACCCCAGGCTCAGGCACACTCCCCTCATCACCTCCCCCATCCACAGGTAACCTCCCCTCACCTTGTACCCCAGGCAACCTCCCCTTATCACCTCCCCCATCCTCAGGTAACCTCCCCTCACCTTGTACCCCAGGCCCAGGTACACCCCCCTCACCACCTCTCCCACCCTCAAGTAACCTCCCCTCACCGTGTACCCCAGGCCCAGGTACACTCCCCTCACCACCTCTCCCATCCCCAGGTAACCTCCCCTCACCTCCTCTCCCCACCCCAGTCTCACCTCTCCAGCCAAAACCACAATCCTGGTTTAGATGATACAGGTTGGAGCAGGCCTGAAGCATCTTCTGAACTTTCCTCCTTTCTCAGCTCCTACTCCTTCCAGGTAAGACCGTGGTCTATTCTTCCCAACAAAACACAAACCCAAAACTTGCACTACTTATGAATACTGCAGTACCATCTGTTTGTCTCTGATCTGAAACAGATCCAGACCACAGACCACCTGGATCTTCATCTCCAGAACCAGAACCAGAACCAGTTCAACACTGGACAAGAGCTGGAGAACACAGAAACACTGTCCTATAACAGTCACACACTCCTTGCCAGTGGTATATATGCACAGGGTGACACACCTGGTTCAGGTCAGGACACCTGGGGGCCTCTGGAGCCAACTCTGTCCCAGTTTCAGTACTCTCCACTGGGCTCCATACCTGGAGGAGTCGGCCTAGGGAGATGGAGCTCCGTGGATTTCAGCTCATCATCTAACGAAGACTTCTCCAACAACAAGTTCTTCCCCGACAGTTACCATGACAATAATGCCCCACAGCCCTTTTGTAGCCCCACTACCCCTAGTCCCCATTACTCACAAACCCCAACCATCTCCAGCCCTGGTCCTGAAATTAACCCCAGGATGGAGAGATTGGGTTTTCACACACAACCATCCATTGAGCTGAACACAAATAAAACTCTCAGCTGCTGTCTACATGAGCCAAACAGCTACCCCATGACCTCTGATCCTGCTCAGCTCCACCCACATCAGATAAGCCGAAGCCTCCTCCCAAGCCAAACTGAACCGATCCAGGATCAGTCAGGTCTCCTCAACACTGCTGACAGCTCTGAGAGCTGCTTCTCTCCACGGGAAGGAAGCCAGGATATCAGCAGTGCTGCCCAGTCTCCAGGCCCACATGCTGGGCTTAACTGGAGGCATGAGTGTGGAGGAGGAGGAGGGAGAAGAGGAGGGGACAGTCAACTAGACTGGACCTGGGTGTGTTTGACACAGAAATACTCAAAGCATAACTTGTTTTTAGTTATTTCTTTGGCAGTTGTAATCCTAATAATATGAACATTTCTGAGTAAATAAGAAAGTACGTGAAAAAGTAAATAAGAAAAGCAAGATAATGCATAAATGTGTATGCATACACATTTGATAAAAGTACCATTTATATAAATAAGTGTATAAGAAGTGAATAAAGTCGTATGTAAGTGCACAAATAAGAAAATAAATACATACATGTATAATTAATCAAATATGTGAATAAATTAGCAAAAGAATAAGTAAACACATCATTGGGTAAATACAAGCATAAATAATTAAATGTGTAAACAATTATAGAAACGTTTCCTTAAGCAAAACATTATATCACACTATTCTCTCACTAAAGTTTATATTTCAAATTGATTTAAGAGTTTTCTTTTCATTTCCAGATGAAATGGGCACAGCATGAAAACAGCGCCGGGGTTCCAGGCTGCAGGTAACAAAGTGACAGTGATGATGATAATGATGGTTTTAGACATTGTCCTCTCAGCAGCTACAATAGCTTCTTACAATCATATCAATATGATATATAATGATATCTCTTTCAGTGCTTAACAGTTTTATCATTACACTGGTTTATGATCATTTTTAACTAATTAAAGTTACAGATAAACTGTCAACTAATCTACTGTGTGTGTTGTAGGCTGCTGTGTACCATGTGTCAGCGTGACTTCAGGAGTGTGCCAGCATTAAATGGTCACATGCGTTCCCACAGCGGCTTAAAAACCCTACCAAAAAAGGTTTGTAAAAAACTTGTTTTCGGTTGGAACTATAAGATAAAGATATAGAATAAAATGTTTTGCACAGAGTTCGGTGGGAACTTGGTGCGGCAACCCCTAACGGGAACAACCAAAAGTAGAAGAAGAATGTCATTTATACAGTGTATTCAGGATTTAACATCTGTCTTTCTCCAGGGTGAGGACTCCTCCCTACCTGTCCAACCCTCCATCCCCATAGTGATTCCCGTCTCTGTGCCTGTCCAATCCAGAGGAGTGTCTAAGGCATGTACAAATGGACAGAGGACGTGTAGTCGCCTCCCTGCAGCCACCGGAGGCGCTGTGCTCTACCGCAGTCTGATGCACTTGGAAAAAGAGGTCACCAGGGGCAGAGTGGCAGCTGCGAGTGTAGGATGCCACTACATCCCTCCACCCATGCTGTGTCCCCTCAGGGCAGGGCCGGGGCTGCACTGCTCCCTCGCCACCAGAAGGGAGCAGAGAGTACAGGCGGTACAGCTAAACAATACACACAGTAAGTCATTGGTTACAAAGTCAATTTAGCTGCTCTTAAAGGATACAGCCAGTGATTTTGTATTCTTGTGTTATGTTGCTCAAATCCCATCCAGAGCCATAATTAAAACATTCTGATCCTGAATTGAATAAAAAAAATTGAGCAATATGGAAATGTCATTAAAAACAATTAAACTATGTCTATCACCATGTCATGATATTACATTTTTTCATCCCTGATTGGAAGATGGACTCGATGACCTCGTTGCCATGGAGACACTAACAAAAAGAATCAATAAGCCGTATGTAACATTCTCCTCGTAACAAATTAATCTGTTGTGACAATATCACTCACCCAATCACCTGTTCACACTGACCTGTCAATCACAGACAAATCAATGTAGGGCGGAGCTTCCAGGCTGAAATCCCGCCCCTCTGTGAGCATAAATATGCCCATTCCGACTCCCACAGTGCAGTGCTGCTGTGGACACCGCGAGACGAGCTGGAGCATCCTATCAATCAAAACAGAGGTAAAAACACCATCACACATAAACACAAAGTTTTAATTGATTATTGGTGGAGGGGTTTTACTTTTTTTGATTGACACACTGTTTATCCAGTTGAAGCTCTGTTGACAATGGCTAGATCCAGTGTGATTCCAGGGGGCGGGGCCAGCCCAGAGTACACTCTCCACATCCTATCACAGAGCAAAGGAGACTTCCTGGTAATTCTGATTGGCTGTTTGGTTTGTTGCTCTATGGTGCAAACTTGTTTTTGCCCATAGAGTTTTTCAGCTTTCTGTTTGTATCTGGTCCAAATCCAACATGGCCACCACCACATTAGGTTTTTGTTTTGTCTTCTAGCTGACGGTGGAGAAGCTGCTGTCGACTCCTGAAACCTCCAACCACACAGGTCATCAGCATCGCCCTTACTTATATAACAAATATATGTATCATGATACAGTGGTATGTTAACAGTGTATCATTAAATAAACGTTACAGATTGGAGTGCAGCAGAGAGGAAGCTGCTGGTCAAAGCCCTGCAGCGCCATCATAAAGACTTCAGCAGCATCCAGAGAGCTGTGAGTTTCTGATTTTCTGTTAAAACACCAGCTCAGACTTTGTGTGATGTCTAATTTGTTACTGTGTGTGTGTCCAGATTAAGACCAAGTCCCTGTCTCAGTGTGTGGAGTTTTATTATCTGTGGAAGAAGAAGCTGAGCCTAACTGTGAAGACCCCGGCCAGGCTGACCATCACTCTGCCCAACACAAATGTAAGAAAGGTTTACGTTAGTCCTGAGGGTGGTGCTTGAGTAAACTCATGCTGCTGGTTAAATCAGAAGGGTTTTTTCTCTGTATGTTGGCCATTTTAGGACATTTCAGACTCATCTTTCATCAGACTAAGCTGCACTTGGTCAGACTCAGCTATGCTTTGAGGTCTGTAGTGATCACATGCTACCAGGTTTATATGATCTGGCATAAAGGTTAATACTGGGGACATGAAAACAACAGAGGACAGAAGAACTGCAACTCCCATGGTGCATTTCAGTAACATCATTTGCATCACATGGCTTCATATTCTGTTAAATATTACACACTCTAGAGATCTGATGAATGGTCGTTTTAACCAGTTAACATTAAGATTCTGGATTTTTCCTCAGTTGCAACAGCAGCAGGGGATTATGGGAATTGCTGTCTTGGCCATGGCTCCCTTGTAAAAAAGTTTTCTGACCTCAATGGGATCACCCTTGGTTAAATATTTGTTAAATAAAATGTTAAAAATAAAAATAATCTGGAAAATGTTGTATCATAAGTAAAAGTAGTCAGTGTAGACAAATGATCCCTCTTTACTCAGGCAATAATGTGTAAGCAACAATTTTAGCTGTGTAGTTCAGGTGTTTCAGACTACTTGCAACAGAGTATCTGTAAAGTGCACTGGTAATAAGTGAGTAAAGCTGAGTGCAGACATTTTGAGTTCCAGTAGAGTTGGCTGCTTCAGCATTTCAGGCCAGTAAATTCAGACAGTGTGAACACAAATGAAACTAAAGGCTGAATGAATAAAACCACTGAAACCGAATTTCTGTCATCACGCCGCACACACTGAAACACAAAACACACACCAAGGAGCACACACTTCCTGTCAGAGTGTTACGTTTCTGAAAAAACTGTGATCTGACATTTCAAGTAGCCGGCGTATGTGTGAGTGTGGTCAGACCTCAGTGAGTCAACTTAAATTTTCCATCAGTGACATTTGGATTGTTAGGGCCGACTTCGTAGCTCTGTATCAGCTTTATTTTGAAAGTCAATTAGAATGCTATCAGCTTGATCCACTTTAGCTTCCTGTTAGCAAATTATGGTTGTAGTTCAGCTCCTAATTCTGTCTGATTAGTCCTAGAAAATAAAACTCACTTGTAGAGTTTTCAGAAAGTTTCTTTACTTTGTTCCATGTTACTCTGTTGGTTTTCTGTTTTTCGACTGAGGTTTGCAGCAACACGTTGGTGTTATACACTCTGGGGTCAAAAAGCATCTACTCCTCTGTGTAGTTTTTCAATTAAAGATAATTGAAAATTCAGCAACAAGTCATCAATCAGGTCCTAGGTTAAGGCTAACAAGTTAAAAGTCAACACCATCAGGTCCAAAGTCCAGGCTAACAAGTCCCAGTTCAGATACGAACTCAGGAACACCAAGTTCCAAGTCAGGACCCAAATGGAAAAAAAAATTACCAGGCCAACACTATCCATCCATCCATCCATCATCTATACCATTTATTCCTGAATAGGGTCGCAGGGGGGCTGGAGCCAATCCCAGCCAACAAATGTCTAGTCTAAACCAAGTCCAAAGTGAAGTCACCGGAGTGGAGTCAGATTAATAAACATGGTTTGGGCGGGACATGTAGAGTATATTGATAAGTAGTGGGAGGTGCTGTCATTTCAATTACTGATCTCATCATTTAAAACCACCTGCCTTTTTTTTCTTGTTTTAAAATATTCTGAGTCTAAGAGGAGTTTTTGTTCCAGAGCAGAGATTTCACTAATCTAATAGCTGATGAGTCACTGATTATTGATCGAGATCCCATTCAATCTCATGATGGTGCATTTTTGTCATTATAAAGAGTCCCTTTTCTTACTGTACCTGTTTTCATCTCTCTGTGCTTCTCCAGGATCAGAGGTCGTCTAGCTCTCATGATGCATCATGAACCACTGGACTGGAGCTACACACTACCTACCTACCCACACACACACACAGAGGTAGAGAAAAGAAACTGTGATGAGTTTACTTGGGTGCTAAAATCCTCCCACCAGCTCACTCATCACTCCAATCACATTTAAGCTCACTTTCATCACATCACAAGTCCTGTTGTTGTATTGTTAAAAACATATAGATCCAGTTTTCACTCGAAACACCTTCAAAATTTTCATGAAACTACACTTCCTTAAGACTCTGCTTCTTTAATGCTGTCATTCCTCCGTTACTCTGTCTGCAGTTGCTCCATTTTTTCCCCATTAAAGAATTTTCTGTCTGTGAATTGAGGGCTTAAAGTATTGAGAAATTGATTCTTGGTCTTGGAAACAAACAAACTGACCATGGGCAAAGAACGAAGACCATGTGATGATGTGACTGAAAGCTCCCAGGGCCTTGCAATGAAATGATAATGGGTAATTCACAGATCACTTAACTGATCGGTCCTCACTCAACCCAGAAATCGTTACGGGCCAGCACCTTGAAGGACGTCCCACAGCTTTTGTTCCTGCTCTGAGGATTAAGGACCTAGGAGGTGCCTGGAGGAGACACAAGAGCATCTTTAATGGAAGTCTGTTATAGACTGACACACCCCTTTATTAGAAAACATTATCTTAGTAGTCTTACACATTCTTTTAATATAACTGCTATTTCTGAAACTTGAATGAATAATGTAAGGGGAATGGATTTTGACCTTGATGGCTATAACTTGGTATGCACAAACAGAGAGAATAAGATGGGAGGTGGTGTGGCCTTGTACATAGATAAAAACTTTT